AGAAGTGGGGGTGAATTCAGCAAACTAAGGGTCCCATACCCCCTTCCTTCCTCCTCTCCTGAGATAGGGATATCTTCCACCTCATGATAGGGATATTCAGGCTTGCCACTTTCTCTCTTTGGCCACAGAGCTGGGCTAGAGCAGGCCACTCCCTCCAAGAGTCATGGAATCTTGTGGAACTGCAGGTTCTGCATTATTTCAAGGTGAGCCCCATTCCACACTCTGACCTGCCATTGGCCCTCCTATTTCCAAGGAGACAGGAAAGCTCTGGCAAGAAGGGCCTGGGCCTGAAGTTCAGAGCCACACAGAAATGGCCCTGAGGCCTGAAATGTGAAGCTGGCTCAGGACTCAGAAGGCCTGAGTTCTGGAGAGTCAAGGGGTTGTGGGGGTGGGGGGCACTCTTGATTCTCAGCCCAAGCCTGGCTTGGGTCTAGGAGGACAGACTCAGAAATATCAGAGTCTGGGCCCCTTGAACCCATCAAAACTACCCTACTCATTTACGGAAGGGGAAACAGGCCTGGGGAGAGAAAGTGATGTACCCAAGGTCCCACAAGAGGCTAGTGATAGAACCAGGCTGGAATCCCAGTCTCCAAAGTCCCTCAAGCAGCAGGACGGTGGAGAGCTGGGTGCCTTGTAGAGCCTGACTTCTCAGCACAAATCAGTTCAGTCTCTGAAGGTTCGGAGCCCCCCTTGGTGGCCCAGGGAACATTTTCTCAGACATTTGCAGTGAGAAACTCAGGACCTCCTCATTCTGACCCTCCAGCCCTCCTCTGGCCTGGACAGAACCACTCTTCAGAGATTTCCCAGGAAGGGCAGGCCCTCCAGTGGCAACCATCCCTGGTTGCCTCTCCCACTCGCCATCCTAAAATTTTTCCTCTACATCCATCTTAAGCCTTGGTCACTAAAACCACATCCTTAAAAGAATATATATAAAGTACTTAGAACAGTGCCTGCCACATAGTTAGTGCTCCAGGAATTTCTGCTATTACTATCATCATCATCATCATCATCATCATCATCATTATTTCTGCTCACACTGGGCAGTACTGAAATCAACATCAGTGATGATCCTGAAACCACAAGAGGAGGAATAGGAATTGGGAACGGATAGCTAGTCTATTTCTTCCCATGGGGAAACTCCCCAGTGACCCATTCAATATATAAACCGGGGATTCTAAACTGAGGCCTGTGGGCCTCACATTCCACCTGCAAGTATTTTTCTTCGGCCCACAGAGCACTATGACATTTTTGAGTTTGTTGTTCGCATATAAAAATGAGATTCCTGGCTTCCTTTGAAAAAGAAACAACCCGTTGGAGAGCTGGGTTTAGACCAAGTATTTCCTCTCCACCTAGCCCAGTTCACCTGTTAACTTCCACCTTCCTGGCCCTATAGGTCATTGAGTTTATAACCCCCAATCTAAATGGCTGTCCCCCCCCCCCCCCCTCAACAGAACCTTGGAAGGAGTATTTTGCCACAGACAATTTATTTTCTACAACTGCAGCCTGATGGACACGTACCCATTTCCTGGTCGATGTTACCACCAGCTACAGGGTTTGGAGATGGGCTCGGGGGCTCTCCAGCCCAAGCGGATTGCCTCCCAGAACTTGGGCAGACGGCCTAAGGAAAAGATCCCATTGCCAAACAAGGGGAGCTCAGGCAGCTTCATCCCTGGCCTCTGCGGCAGCTCAGGCATGAGTCTCCGGCTTTGAAGCTGGCGTGAGTAACTGGCATTGGCAGACTCATCCACACATTGCAGGGTGTTGACACCCCTGGTGGACGGCACCATGCACGTGTTGGCGGAGTTGTCAAAGGCAGCCATGCTGGTGCTGGGGTTGGAGTAACTGTGGGGGAACGAGTGGTCTGGGTGGTCCAGGTGGATGGAGTTGGCGGTGCGTTCCAGGTAGTTGGCGGCAAGCCTTGGCAGGCTCAGGGATGATTTGGGGCAGTTGGTATAGAAGGCACTGGTGGATCTGTCAAGGTAGTTGATGCCTTTGATGAGTTGGTCCAGGAAGGTGGGGCTACAGCGGCCCAAGGGACCATCCGTACAGAGCAGGCAGTGGGGGCTGCTGTGCCAAGTGGGCCTCCTGGACGCCTTGGGGTGGGTTGCGAGGTGGTTGGTCTCTACACACTTGGAGTTGTAGGGGCGGCCCATGCAGATTTTCCTCCCTGGGAGTCTGGGGGACCTGGGGCTGTCGGACTTCTTGGAGGGGCTCCTGCAGCTACTGAACTCCGAGCCACTTGGGGTGCGGGGGCACTTGAGACTTTTGGCCCGGGTCACGTTGGGGCCGTGGGGCCAGCCCGGAGTCGGGGCTAAGGACACATTGTTGGCATGGTTCAAGTAGCTGGAAGTGTTGGACCGGCCCACCAGACGTCCAGACATCATCCCTGCTGGGCAGATGAGCTTCGTGGCACTGACCTGCTGTGAGCTCCCCTGGAGGCTGGCTACCTGGGCCTGGGGAAGACAGTTGGGTCGGCTCTGCTTGGCTCCATGCCCCCCGCCCCGCACGCTTTCTCCGCATGTGCCCCCTCTGCCTCCCCAACATCACCCTCCTCCCACCCCTCCTCCTCCTCCTTGGCCCAGGGATTTTCAAACTGGAAAACAGACATCTTATTCTTCGGAAAGCAAGAGATGGGGATGAAGGCAAGGCCCCGAGAACAACCGAGGCCAGAGGACCGTTAGGGAAAAGTGAGGCAGTCTCCTTGTTCCTGTAGCTCTCGCCCATATTCTGAAATTCCCATTTGCCTTTTAAGCAAGGACTCCAGAAGACCACAAAAGCCAAGGACTGAATCTCTAATGGGGAAATTCCAAGCCCTGAGAGAGAGACCTTCTTTCCGGGTAATATTAAATAGCTAATCATCAACAACACAATGCACCTGATACTAAAAAATTGTACCCGGGAAGTGATGTAATACTATATGTACTCTCTCCTTGCCTGGCCCTTTGGTTGTGTCTTGCGTATAATTGTTGCTATGAATCAAGGAGGTGGGCATTATTCTATTCCCGGTTGACAGATGGGGAAACTCAGTCTCAGAGAGATTACGTGACTTGCCTCCGATTCCAAGCTTGTAAGTGGCGGGGCCGAGGTAGTATCTTGGGTGTGTCTGATGATCTCTGAAAGACAATGCTATGTCGGGGTCACTTTGGCCCCCCTCGCAGTCTCTTAAGGAAGAGTTCTCCCCACACCTGCTCTGCCTGCTGGATGGGGGCCCTAATGGGGAGAACCAGATGGACAAGGGTGCTTGCTAAACCCCATAGTTAAGTTGATCCTGACTTTAGGAATCCCAACTGAGAGGGGCAGAGGTAGTACAACAAGTCTACCAATGGGACTGCCCTTTTAAGGTCACGGCCTTCCAGGATATCTGATCTTGATATCTGGGGTCTCTTCATCCACTCCACAAGAGGAGGGGGCATTGGGATTCCTACTCCTTGCGGTCTGAACGTGGGCGCTTCACTGAGACTAAGGCCTGCCCAGGCCAAGAAGATGCTCAGGCCATTTAACCCCATCTCCTGTCCCAGCCAAGGGCAGTGGAGTCCTCCCCCCCCCTTGTTCCCACTGTCCCCTGGTTCCCCAATACTCCCCTACCCCCAACCAGAGGGAAGGCCTGATTTCTCTCCCCCAGTACTGCCAGCTTGAGCTCATTTTCCACTTCTGCGCAGTGAGAACAGAGCAGTATTTGAGCCTGTCCCACCCAGAAAACAGCTGTCGGCTCCTCTTCCAGCCCACGGCCCTCAGCTGCCCTTGTCCTTTGGGTCTGAACCGAGTGGAATGTACAGACCCTTGACTCTTTCCTTCCAGGTCCAACCCCACCCTGTCTCCTCCTCCGGAAATGCAGGAGGTGACTGAGGGCTGACCCCCACAGTGCCCCACCCTTCCCTTCCTGGCTGGCTGGGCCCCATCTGCCATCAGGGCCCTCTCCCACGCTCACTCTGCCTTTAGGGGGTAGATGACTTAGCCCTCCTGTTGCTCTCCACGGGGGATACCTTCATGCCGCCACTCCAGACTGCTGGCCATGTCATAGAATCATGGAATCCTAGAGCTGGGAGGGGCCTCCAGAGGTCATCCTGGCCAGGCCCCTGCCTCCAGGCCCGCGCCACACTAAGCCCTCCAGGACAGATGGGCCCTATTTTTGCAACGAGACTGGGGTGGATGTTTTCCAGTGTTCCTTGTTGTTTTTCTGGTGTTTAATTATGCGGAGAGTCAGGAAGTTCTATACTGGTCCTGATCTAGCTTCCATTGGCCGTGGTCAACATCAGTCACTTCTCTTTTCTCACTGGCTCAGCAAACACGTATTGAGTCTCCCCAGAGTGCTGTCGCTTCGAGTAACCCATTCTTGAGCATAACTGCATGGTCTCTCCTTCCTCGCCAAGGTCAGTGACCTGGCGTAGAGTATCTCCTACACGGTGGGCTCTGGCCGGAGCCTGAGGACTCTTCAGCCAGCAAATCTCAGAAGCTCCATGCCCTCTACCCAGCCCTGGTTCCTAGGGGGCACTCAGGACATATTTGCCAAGAAAAGCCTCCCTCTGTCATGTCCTTCTCTCAGATATTAAAAATACAGTTTTACTTTTTACTTTGAAAAATTTTCAAACTTCCTGAAAACTTGTAAGACAATGAACTCCCATGTAGCCCTCATCCAAATCCACAAATTATTAATGCTCTTGCCATGTTTATCACTACGTACACACACACACACACACACACACACACACACACACACACACACACACACTATTATTTTTTGATAGGAAGTTACAGACAACAGCATCTTTTAGCCCTGAACACTTGGGGCTGTATCTCCTGCATACCGAACGAACAGAGACATCTTCTTGTTTCTTTTTTTTTCTCCAAGTTTTAGATATTTCTTAATCCGTGTAAACCCCAACACGATGCACCAACATGATTTCATGCATTTAGAGGGGAAATATTTCCTGGATGAGCGGAAAGTTGTGCGGATGGTTTCTGGAAGACCTTCATTCTAAGCAGCTTTTTAGTGAAATATTTCATTTAGAAGCCCGGACCTTCTTTCGTTTGCTGTAGTCTGCATTCACTGAGTAGAACTTGTACCGATCACAGGAACCCCGTTCGTTCCAGCGTTCTGGGTTATGCTTCCTACCCCAACTGACATCTGGATCGAACAATACCAAGCACAAGACATACAGCACTGCTCCCGTACCCTCTTCTCCAATAAAAATGAAGAGGAGGAGTGAGGCGTCTGAGTTTCCCACTTTTCAGGTAAAATATGGCTAAAAGCTTACGGAGTAAGTGGAAACGGAAGATGCGTGCAGAAAAGAGAAAAAAGAATGCCCCGAAGGAACTCAGCAGACTTAAAAGTATTCTTAAAGTAGATAGTGATGTTTTAATGAAAGATGTTCAAGAGATAGCAACTGTGGTGGTACCCAAACACTGTCAAGAGAAAACTCAATGTGTGGTACAAGATGAAAAAGATGACGTGAAAATGGAGACTGAAATTAAGAGAAACAAGAAGAGTCTTCTAGATCAGCATGGACAGTACCCCATATGGATGAACCAGAGACAGAGGAAAAGGCTGAAGGCAAAGCGAGAAAAAGGGAAGGGGAAAAGCAAAGTAAAGGCAGCAAAGGGTCTGGCCTGGTAGACTCTTAAAAACTTGAAAACTCCTACATGGGACAGGCCTTTGGTTAGAATGTGTACATGGATTTCAACTTCCACCAAATGAAAACTTGGTTTCCATATTTCACTTGGCCTTGTTCTTCAATTCAAACTCAACTTAACTCCTCAACTTTGTTTTGGGAGCTTGAATAAAATCTTTGATGAATGAAAGCTAAAAAAAAAAAAAAAAAAAAAAATGAAGAGGAGGATGGAGTTCGGATGCTTCGTGGCCTGACCCAGGATCTGGCAGAACATGACTGGGTCCAGGAGAAGAACAGATCACATCTGTGAGGCCCAGCACGAAATAGTCCCCACACCGAGGACGAAGGGACATCCCGGACATCCCGGACATCTCACACCTCCACACTACAATGACCAAATACAGGACACTGGGCCATGGGAGAGTACGATCCTCTACTATACGGTCCACATCCACATTTTGCTGATTGCCCCTCTGACGTTCTTCATGGCAACTCTTCTTCCCATGCAAGATCCAAGCCAGGAGCACGCGTGGCCTCCGTTCTCAGGTGTCTTTGGTTTCCTTCAACCTGGAGCAGTTCTTCAGCCCTTTTTTGTCTTCCGTGACCTGGACGTGTTTGAAGAGCATGGGCACATCATTCTGGAGAGGGTTCTCCAGTCTGGGTTTAATCCAATGTTTCTGAATGACCAGACCCAGGATCATCAAGTGCTGTGTAACATGGAAACCTCTGCGTGGGCTCTCCCCAGCCCACAGCCAGTGAGCCTTTTGGCCCTGGGGTGGGGTGGTTATTGTTGCTGAAACAGGGAGCCAAGAGGAGAGATCAAAGGGCCCCCAAGAAGGAGGAAGAAAGGTGTGGGGGAACTCAGGGGACCAAGGAAGTGGTGTTAAGAGTTCCCTTGTGGGGCCTCAGGCTGGCCTGGATCTGTTCTGGGCTGGGGGCCAGGCAGGCAGCCAGCAAGAGGGCTGGGCCTCTGTCCCGTTTGTCCTGAAGCTACCCAGGCATCAGGATCACTGGCCATTTCTGGCCTGGGCACTAAGAGCCTCTGGAAATAAGTCCAGGACAATTATTTTAGGAGGAATGTGCTATTCCTCCATCTTCCCAGAAAGCCAGGCTGCGTCCCAGAAGATCAGGAATGTCCCTCTCTGGCCTCCCTAGCTCCAAGGGATCTCTAAATACTCTGGGGGCTGCAGAAGTCTTTAGGGCCAGAAGTGGGGTCAAGGAGACTGAATGCCCTTTCCCTGGGTGGGGAGGGGAGGTTCTGTCCTTAGATCCTGGGCTTTCAGGGTCCATTCTTGAGTCAGGCCAGCTGGTTAGGGACCAGCTGACTCCAAGCATGAGGGCACATGAGGAGGAGGGTATGGGGAAGCTGCCTGCCCTACCTCTTGCCCAGCCCCAGCCCCAGCCCCAAGAGACTGACATGGGTGGAGCACCTGCTAGGCACCAGGACCTCCCACCCTCTCATGTAATCCTCACAGCACCCCTGAGAGGTAGGTATTTGGTTTTCCCGATGAGGTAATTGAAACACAGAAAGGGCAAGAGACTTACCCAAGCTCACCCGGCAATCGGAACTAGAACCTGGTGTTCTGGCTCTATCCAGAGGGGGCCACTCCTCTCGCTCGGTGAGGACACAGTAGGCGACCCTGGGAACTGGGCGGAGTTGGGAGGGGTCCAACATGGAGACACAGGCTGGTGGGCAGCTGAAGCCCTGTCCCCCACCAAACCCCATCACCCACCACTCAGCAAGCCCGGCTGCCTCTTCCCTCCCTAGCACTGCAGGGATGAATGTCAGGGTCTGACAATGTCCTGGGTGGGTGCCCTGCACAGTCCCCAGCCACCGCAGCGCCCCCCCTTGCCCCACCGGGTCCAGCTCCAACCTTGGCTCCCTAGCTCCATTACCAAACCAGCTTGGCTTTCCATCATCCCTTGCCCCTCCCCCTCCCGCCCGCCTCAGCAGTTCTAGGTATGGCCTCTTGGGTCCCACTACATCCAGCAGGGGCCCTTTCTCTAGCCCAGGTATGAGGAGTTTGAGGGCATCTCATTCCTCTGGGCTATCCCAGAATGGAGGGAATAGCCTCCTTCTCCAGAGACCGTCCCATTAGCACCTATGCTGCTTATTCACCACCCCCCACTGCCCCCCTACCTCCGCATCTGCCACTCAGCAGTTACCCTTCTCCTCTGGGGCCTGAGGTGGTGGGGACAGGTGTTCCCATGTCCTTTCAGTCACATGGCTCCTGGAAGCATCAAAGATAAGGAGCAAGCGGAGCTTGGCAGCCCCGAGTGTGAGCTCAGCAGCTGCAGGCTTGAGACCCCCACGTTAGTCCAGGGGACAGCAGGAGCCAAGAGCCATGAAACTTTCTTGGCTGTCCCAACCTGCCTGGAGGACATCTGTGCCCAGCCTCAGGCCACTATTAGCAGTGTGACTCACCTGAGCCTTTACCTGCCAGCTTGCTTGCAGGGCTGAAAAATGTTTACTGGGCTGGGTCCTGGCCCTCCCATTAGCTACAGCCTTTCACCCACCCAAGCACAGTGAGTCACACACCCCCATTCCCCCAGCAAACTCAAGGATAGAGGCCCTCTGCTCACCAGCTGCCAAAACAGCCTTCCCCAAACCCACATGTGGCAGGTACAAGCCGGGACGGATTTGAGCTCAGAAGCATTGGGGCAGGTGTGGCTTCACAGGAACCCCAGCCAACAAGAACTTCCCTCCTGCCAAGCCACCTTAGGGATTTGGGCGTAGAGCAGCCAAGGTGGGGGAGGACAGGGCTCCTGTCTTCATGGGGCCCGGGAAATTTCCTCTAAGGGAGGTGGGGACCATGGCCATATGCAGGTTTATCGACCACCTTGCTGGGAGAAGACGTAGGAAGTAGGGCGGCAAGTAACTGGCTCAGCTGTGACCTTGGGTAAGTGCTTGAACTTCTCCAAACCTCCATCTGCTGTTCTGTAAAAGGGGCAGGGAGGGCTCTCAGTGGACCTTGTAGACTGCCTGGCTTGCAGGACGAGCTAATGTTTGTGAAATGCCCTCGGGCGCTGCAGGCTCGGGGGAGCAGCAGGGGCGTGCTGGGGTCAGCTCGGACTGGCTCACAGAGCCGATTTGTTAAATATTCCAGAATTTGGGGAATGGGTTGTTACATCGCTGGTAGCTTGAAATCAGCCATGGTGGTTGATTACAAGCTACCAGGGGATTGGCACAGCAACACATCAGGTGTGTTTCTTTGTGTGTGTTTCTTTTCTGAGCCCCAGCTCACCAGCCTACCATGGCAGCTGTGTGAAACTTCTGCTTCCTTATCCATAAAACCATAATAATAATAATGGCCCGTGTGTGTCTAGTGCGTACTGTGTCCCAGCTGCTGTGTGTAACTGTCTGTGTCAGCTTGGCTGGGGCACCTGGATGGGTGTGCCCACATGGCTGGTTAAACCTTATTGCTGGGTGTGTCTGTGAAGGTGTTTCTGGGAGGCAGACCCCAGTGTGGGTCAGCATTATCCAATTTGTTGAAGGCCAAAAGAGAACAGAAAAGGTTGCATTTGTTCTCTGCCTGCCTGAGTTGGGCTAGGAATCCATCAGTCCTGGTTCTTACACCTTCAGACCTGGCTTGGCATCTACACGATTGGTTGTCTGGTTCTCAGTCCTTTGAACCACACCACCTGCTTTCCTGGGTCTTAACCTCCATAATTGCATGAGCCAATACTAATAATAAATTTCTTCACATATATATTTATGTACCTATAGACTAAAAGTTTGTGTCCCTCCAAAATTCGTATGTTGAAACCTAACCCCCCATGGGGTGGCGCTTGGAGGTGGGGTCTTTGGGAGGTGAGTAGATCATGAGAGTGGAGCCCTCATGGAGTTAGTGCCCCAGAGAGCATCCTCACCCCTTCCGTCACGTGAGGACACAGCAAGAAAATGCTTCTGTGCCCCAGGAAGCAAGCTCTTACCAGACACCAAGGCTGCCAACACCTTGATCTCAGACTCCCAGCCTTCAGCCCTGTGAGAAATAAATGGTTGTTACTTTAAGCCTCCCAGTCTGTGGTATTTTGGCGTTATAACCTGAACATAGGCTAAGACATCTCTGTATTTCTTCTTACTGGTTCTGTTTCTCTGGGGAAGCTGGCTATGATACTGTGCTAAGTGCTTTATACGCATTCACTCATTTATCACTCATTCCAACCTTACGAGGTAGATAGGACCAGCACCCCCATTTTTCAGATGAGAAGCTGAAGGGCAGAGGTGAAGTAACTCACCTGAAGGAACACAGGCAAGGTTCTGGCTCCCCTCTGCCTGCCAACTGCAGTACCTACTGCCACAGGGGCCACCATCGCTTTGTCTTTGATGAAGCATTCACTGAGTGGAGACACTGTCCTGAGCATTCTCCACAGGTAACAGGTACACCCCCAAGCCCTCCAGCTTTCTGGGGTACCTTTTCCCGTAGTAGTCAAATAAGACAGCTCAAACCTCCATTCTGTGTGCCGTGGGAAGTTTGGAGCCTTCCCCACTTTTTCTGAGGGAACCCGGGAGGCTGTTGTAGTCTCCCGTCACCACTCAGTCTGGGTCCAATTCTCAGACCCCCCCCTGCTCCCCCGCCTTCTCTGGCTGTCACCTTTTCTCAGGGGCACCCCCCCGCCCCTCCTGGCCACCATGACCACTATTCCCTCCTTATCCGTTCCCCCAGCCACCACAGACATGCAACGACTGTGTGTGACAGACTTTCCTAAAGGCACAGGGTGACAGAAGGGTGACAACCCAGCATGGGACGAAAGGCAGCCCACGTGGAATAAATGGTGATGACTCAGTTCACGTCTCTTGGCCTCCTCTCTGCTCAGGCTCAGGCCTCCCGCCATGAAGCTGGTGGGAAACCCTGCTCTGGCTCCCCTCCTCCCCCCCCCCCCC